ACCTCTGGGCCATCTTCTGCCTGCTGGTGCTGTCCAGCTACACGGCCAACCTGGCCGCCGTCATGGTGGGGGACAAGACCTTCCTGCAGCTGTCTGGGATCCACGACCCAAAGGTGGGCGGCCCCGGGGGGCTGGGGGCTGCCCCAGGCTGGGCTGCCAGGGGAAGGGGTGGTCAGCTGGGCGTGGAGGACGTCCGCTAGGCCAACTCTGGTCCCAAGAGACATACGTTTATTTATTTATTTATTATTATTTTCTGAGACGGAGTTTCGCTCTTGTCACCCAGGCTGGAGTGCAATGGTGCGATCTCGGCTCACCACAACCTCCGCCTCCTGGGTTCAGGCAATTCTCCCGCCTCAGCCTCCTGAGTAGCTGGGATTACAGGCACGCGCCACCATGCCCAGCTAATTTTTAGTATTTTTAGTAGAGACGGGGTTTCACCATCTTAACCAGGATGGTCTCGATCTCTTGACCTCATGATCCACCCACCTCGGCTTCCCAAAGTGCTGGGATGACAGGCTTGAGCCACCGTGCCCGGCCATATTTATTATTTTTTAAAAAACAGCGAGGCTCGGTGGCTCACTGCTGTAATCCCAGCACTTGGGGAGGTTGAGGCGGGTGAATCGCCTGAGGTCAGGAGTCCAGATGAGCTGACCACCCCACGAGGCTTTTCCAACGTAAACTCTGCACAGCTGAGCACAGACAGAGCATTTTCATCATCCAGAGACTTCCATCAGGTGCCGCTGACCCGGAGGCACGATGGGATTCAAGTTTGGGTTTTTAGCATGCACCTGTAATCGCAGCTATTCCGGAGGCCCAGGCAGGAGAATTGCTTGAACCTGGGAGGTGGAGGTTGCATTGAGCCAAGATCGCACCACCGCACTCCAGCCTGGGCGACAGAGCGAGACTCTGACTTGGGGAAGAAAACAGACACTCACTGGACATGAGGTTCGCTATGTTGTCCAGGCTGGTCCCAGACTCTGGGTTCATGCGATTCTCCCACCTCAGCTCTCAAAGTGCTGGGATTATAGGTGTGAGCTCGGCCTCTATCTCTGTTTCCCAGGCTGGAGTGCAATGGCGCAATCTCGGCTCACCGCAACCTCCGCCTCCTGGGTTCAGGCAATTCTCCTGCCTCAGCCTCCCGAGTAGCTGGGATTACAGGCAGGCGCCACCGTGCCCAGCTAATTTTTGTATTTTTAGTAGAGATGGGGTTTCACCATGTTGGCCGGGATGGTCTCGATCTCTTGACTTCGTGATCCACCCGCCTCGGCCTCCCAAAGTGCTGGGATTACAGGCTTGAGCCACCGCACCCGGCCTTGATTTTATTTTATTTTTTTTGAGACAGAGTTTCGCTCTTGTTACCCAGGCTGGAGTGCAATGGCGCCATCTCGGCTCACCGCAACCTCCGCCTCCTGGGTTCAGGCAATTCTCCTGCCTCAGCCTCCCGAGTAGCTGGGATTACAGGCACGCGCCACCATGCCCAGCTAATTTTTGTATTTTTAGTAGAGACGGGGTTTCACCATGTTGGCCAGGCTGGTCTTGAACTCCTGACCTAAAGTGATCCTCCTGCTTTGGCCTCCCAAAGTGCTGGGATTATGGCGTGAGCTACTGCACCTGGCCCCTATTGTTTTTATTTATTTTCAGTTTTTGAGACGGAGTCTCACTCTGTTGCCCGGAGCTGGAGTGCAGTGGCGTGATCTCAGCTCACTGCAACCCCTCCTGGGTTCAACCGATTCTCCTGCCTCAGTCCCCCCACAGCGCTGGGATTGGGCCTGACCTACAGCACCCAGCCGGCCTTTGCAATTTCTTGGCAAAATCGGGTTTTCTGCCCCATAGTGTCTGTGAACCCTGGGGGCGCCTCGCCTGCTCCCCAGCCCCCGGTGTTCCCCGTTAAACGGGAATGAAATGTAGACGCCGCGCTGTCTGATGCGCTGACCGCTCCGGGCGGCTTTTCCAATTTAAACGCTGCACAGCCGCGTGCAGACAGAGCATTTTCATCATCTGGAAAGTTCCATCAGGTGCTGCTGACCCAGAGGCCCGATGGGATCGAGTCTGGGATTTGGGTGCCGCCGCAGTCGGGTGGGGAGGCCGTGGCCGGTGGGACGCCAGCAGCCAGACCCACGTATCCCTTAGGGGTCCACATCAGGGTGCCCTGGCAGCTGTGGGGAGGACCACGCAGAGGGGACCGGGCTGGTGGGGGTGATCGTAGGGAAGGGGGCTGGGATGGATGCTTGGGCTGGGCCTGGGTGGTTCCCTGTGTGCTGAAGGTGGGGCCCCCGGGTTTTTGGAGTCACAGGACATGGGGTGTGGGAGGCAGTGAGGACAGCTGCCCCCCCCAACTGCGGTGGGAAAACCCAGGGTTGGGGGCAGATGGAGGAGGCAGATCTGAAGTAGTCACGGCCATGTGAGAGTGGGTCTCCCGTGGGACCCAAGGGGACAGGCAGAGGAGGTGGTGGGACAGGAGCCGAGCCCACGGCAAGGTCCGGGCGGAGATGGACTTAGCGGTGTTTAGAACGGAGCGTCTCCACCCCGGGTGATCCTGCGCTCACCCCCCACCCCCACCAGGGGACCCTGGACAGTGTGTGTCTAGGGACAGTTGTCATGACTGGGGTGTGCTCTTGGCATGGAGTGGGTGGAGGCAGCTCGGCCCTGCGGTGCCAGGATGGCCCCACCCCAGAGAACGGCGCGCCCCTCAGTGGTCGGGGGTCCCGCGGGGGCAGGCAGAGGCACTGACGGGGTCCCCCCAACCCCCACCCCGGGCAGCTGCACCATCCGGCGCAGGACTTCCGCTTCGGCACCGTCTGGGAGAGCAGCGCCGAGGCTTACATCAAGAAGAGCTTCCCCGAGATGCACGCGCACATGCGGCGCCACAGCGCGCCCACCACGCCCCACGGCGTCGCCATGCTCACGTGAGCGCGGGGCGGGGCGTGGGCGGGCCATGGGCGGGGCGGGCGGGCCATGGGCGGGGAGGGGGCGGGCCATGGGCGGGGCGGGCGGGCCATGGGCGGGGAGGGGGCGGGCCATGGGCGGGGCGGGCGGGCCATGGGCGGGGAGGGGGCGGGCCATGGGCGGGGCGGGCGGGCCATGGGCGGGGAGGGGGCGGGCCATGGGCGGGGCGGGGCGGGCCATGGGCGGGGAGGGGGCGGGCCATGGACTGGAGGGCGGGCCGTGGGCGGGGCGGGGCGGGGAGTGGGCGGGCCATGGGCGGGGAGGGGGCGGGCCATGGGCGGGGCGACAGCTGACCCCGTCCCGGCCCCTCGCAGGAGCGACCCCCCCAAGCTCAACGCCTTCATCATGGACAAGTCCCTGCTGGACTACGAGGTCTCCATCGACGCGGACTGCAAGCTGCTGACTGTGGGCAAGCCCTTCGCCATCGAGGGTGAGGGGCACCTGGACGGGGCGGGGCGGGGCGCCGGGGTCTCTGGGGCCAGTGGGGAGCCGCGGAGGGTTCCAGGCGGGGAGGGGCGAAGTCCCGCGTGTGCGGGCAGAGTTCCTCTGGGGCTGTCCCGCCTGGCCCCACCTCCCCGGCCCCGCGCCCCCAGGCTATGGCATCGGGCTGCCCCAGAACTCGCCGCTCACCTCCAACCTGTCCGAGTTCATCAGCCGCTACAAGTCCTCCGGCTTCATTGACCTGCTCCATGACAAGTGGTACAAGATGGTGCCTTGCGGGAAGCGGGTGTTTGCGGTGACAGAGGTGGGGCTGGGCCCGGGGCAGGGGGTGGGGGGCCCTGAGCCTTGTCTGAGGTGACCAACCCCGCGCTCATTCCCGAGATGCGCATTTGTCCGCTTCTGCGCACTTCTATTCTCCCTACAAAACCCCAGCTCCAGTGGCCTCTCCTCCATGAAACCTCACCCCTGCCTGCCAACCTGACTCCACAGTCCCAGGCCCCTCTCTCTGGCCCAACCTTTTCTCCCGCAGTTCAAGGGTCCCCAGGGGCCGGCCATCACGTGACCGTGAGGGGCTCCTGCTCTGTTGCCCCAGACCCTGCAGATGAGCATCTACCACTTCTCGGGCCTCTTCGTGCTGCTGTGCCTGGGCCTGGGCAGCGCTCTGCTCAGCTCCCTGGGCGAGCATGCCTTCTACCGCCTGGCGCTGCCTCGCATCCGCAGGGGGAGCCGGCTGCAGTACTGGCTGCACACCAGCCAGGTGCGGACCCGGCGGGCGGCGGGCGGTCCCGCCGGCCATGTCTCCTCACCAACCGGGTCTGTCTGGGGTCTTAGAAAATCCACCGCGCCCTCAACACGGAGCCGCCACAGGGGTCGAAGGAGGAGACGGCAGAGGCGGAGCCCAGGTAAGTGGTGGTCGGGGCAACCAGGACCCAGGTCGCCCTGAAGCCGGCCACGGGGTGCAGGAGGCGGTTCCCGGAGGCCCCCGGCCACCCTCGGACAACTGTGCGCACGGCAGCTGCCTGGTGGTGCCTTTCGGCCACCCTCTCCCCGCAGTGGGCTCTACAGAGACCCAGGGTGCAAGACGGCTGCCCCGGTGGGCACCGACCAGGCCGGTTCTGTCCCCAGCGGCCCCGAGGTGGAGCAGCAGCAGCAGGACCCGCCGGCGGCTCCGGAGGGCTGGAAACGGGCGCGCCGGGCCGTGGACAAGGAGCGCCGCGTGCGCTTCCTGCTGGAGCCCGCCGTGGTTGCGGCGCCCGACGCGGACACCGAGGCGGAGGCGGAGGCGGGGGCGGGGGCTGCGCCGCCAGAGGGCCCCGGCTGGCTGTGCTCCAATGGCCGCGCGTCAGCCGCGAAGCCCACGGGCCCCCCCCAGCCCGGGGAGCTGCAGGAGCTGGAGCGCTGCATCGAGAGCGCGCGGGAGCGGCTCCGCCAGGCCCTGGTGCGGCGCGGCGAGCTGCTGGCACAGCTCGGGGACAGCGCGCGCCACCGGCCTCTGCGCCTGCTTCAGGCCAGGGCTGCCCCCGCGGAGGCGCCACCGCACCCGGACTGATGGGGTTGCCGGGAAGGAGGCGGCCGCCGGGCTCCCGGGGATCAAGACACACAGCGCGCTGGGCCGCTGTCGACAGACAGTTTATTCTATATACAAACCCAATTTTGTACACCGCAATTAAATAGAATGGAATGAGCTCTCCTCCGCATTCCTCCCCGAGTGACTCCGCCCCGGGGCAGAGCCGGACCACGGCCCGGCTGCTGCCACTGGTGTTGGCGTCTGCACCCCGCGTCCCTATCTATGCCTGAGGCACAAGCTCTGCTCTCCCGGGGCCCCCAGGCCTGGTGCGCACGCGGGGAGGGCCGGGCCATGGACAAGGCACTGCACGGAGCACCAGGCAGAGCCGGGCTGAGGCCGGCAGGGACAGCGCTAGGGTTCCAGGGTCCCAGGACCCGCCCCGGCCGCCACTCCACACTTCCGCGTGCTCACAGGCCTGCACCACGGGGACCCCACTCCACCGCAGGACGTTCACTGCAGACCTTCCCCCAAGCGCCCTCCAGAACCTTCCACGGAACCCCACCCCTCTCCTCGCTAACGGGTACGAGCCCAGCCCGGGGCGCGACCTCACACCGGGGGGAGGGAAGCCTGCCTTCTGGGCAACCCCATGAAACCCTGAAAGCCACCGAGACAGGCTGGGCAGTACCAGAGGAAGGAGGTGGCCGGGCGCCCCCACCCGGGACGGCCTCCCCTACCCCTACAGGCTCCAGCAGGTCAGGCCCAGCCGGCCGGGACAGCCGGGGTCAGAGGCAGCTCAGCTGTGCGGCTCAGGATCCAGCCTCCGAGGGCGCCTCCACTGGGGCCGTGGAGGCCGGGCTAGACCCGCTCACCGCAGCTGCCAGGGGCGTTGTGTCGGGAGCTGCGGAGTCACTCGGGGGGACACTGTCCTGTGGGGTGCGGGGGATGCCCCCAGGAGGGCCCAGCGGGCTGGCTGGACGCCGCTCCAGGAGGGAGGCCCTGAGGCCGGACAGGAAGGAGGCGTCTGTGATGATAGCAGCGGTCTCTGTCATCCAGCCCAGGTCACCGCCGGCAGCTGCAGCCACCAGGGAGCCGGGCGCCGCGGCCACAGGCCCTGGACTCCCGCTGGCCCCGGGCGAGATGGGGCCCAGGGCAGCGGGCTGGCTGGGGGAGTCGGGGGCGGCGGCCGGGGCGCCCGCATTGTTGTTCATGTCGTCGGGCAGCGCCGTGGGGGTCCCGGGGCCCAGCGGCGGCGCCTGCAGCAGCATCTCCTGGATGCGAAGCTGCTGCAGGATGGCGGGCAGCTCGTAGTGGTGGAAGAAGTAGATCATGGAATGCTGCGGGGGGAGGGCGGGAGTCGGGAGGTGCCGCCTCCGCGCAGGCCTTTCTCCCCCGCCGCAGCCCCTCCTGCCCGCCGGGCGCAGCTGGCCCGTCCCCGCCCGCTGCCTGGGCCTCACCTGAATGAAGAGCCAGGAGGTGACCAGGGCCAGGCTGCTGTACTGCCCGTTGAAGCGGTAGTGATAGGCATAGAAGGCGAAGTGGTAGAGATAGAAAAACCTGCGGGGTCGGGGTGTGAGGGCGTCGGGGCTGCCCAGTCCCACCGCAGGCCCCGCCCCTTCCCAGCACCCCTCCCCATCAGCCCCGCCCCTTCCCAGCACCCCTCCCACTGACAGCCCCGCCCTCCCCTGGCAGCCCCGCCCCTTCCCAGCACTCCTCCCCCTGGCAGCCCCGCCCTCCCCTGGCAGCCCCACCCCTTCCCAGCACCCCTCCCCATCAGCCCCGCCCCTTCCCAGCACCCCTCCCCCTGGCAGCCCCGCCCTCCCCCTGGCAGCCCCGCCTATTCCCAGCACCATTCCCCACGGGCAGCCCCGCCCCTTCCCAGCACCCCTCCCCCTGGAATCCCCGCCCCTTCCCAGCACCCCTCCCCTGGCAGCCCCGCCCATTCCCAGCACCCCTCCCCCTGGCAACCCCACCTATTCCCAGCACCATTCCCCCTGGCGGCCCCGCCCATCCCCAGCACCCCTCCCCCTGGCAACCCCACCTATTCCCAGCACCATTCCCCCTGGCAGCCCCGCCCATTCCCAGCACCCCTCCCCCTGGCAACCCCACCTATTCCCAGCACCATTCCCTCGGGCAGCCCCGCCCCTTCATAGCACCCCTCCCCCTGGCAGCCCCGCCCCTTCCCAGCACCCCTCCCCCTGGCAGCCCCGCCCATTCCCAGCACCCCTCCCCCTGGCAGCCCCGCCACTTCCCAGCACCCCTCCCCCTGGCAGCCCCGCCCATTCCCAGCACCCCTCCCCCTGGCTGCCCCGCCCCTTCCCCGCCCCCTGGCAGCCTCGCCCCCGTCCCTCTCTGCCCCGCCCCGCGCGGCGCTCACCGCAGCCAGTGCCGCTTGCTGGTGCTGGTGTGGCAGCAGATGGCGTCGTACTGGTCAGCGAGCCACACGATGAGGATGATGTAGAAGGCGGTGGTGGTGTCGTTGAAGAACTCCGACATGATGGCCTCCATCCCTGCAGGGAGAGGCGGCGGCGGTTGGAGCGGGCGGGGCGGGGTGCGGTGCGGCGCGGGGCGGGGGAGGCCTGGGTGGGTCCTCACCGACGAGGGCCAGGATGACGGTCAGCAGGGGCGCTGCGGGGAAGGCGATGGCCATGTTCATCTCCAGCATCTGCAGCAGGTCCACTGCGGGCACAGGGCGGCGGGACCCCGGTGAGGGCCTGGAGGACGCCCGCCCCGCCCCGCGCCGGCGGGACACTCACCGATGAAGACGAAGATCTGGTGGTGCGAGTAGCGCAGCAGCATGGACACGCTCAGCGTCTGCAAGGGGCGCGCGTGAGGGGCTGCTCGGCTCCCGGCCCCGGCGCCCACGCCCCCGCCCCGAGGCACTCACGAAGATGACCATGATGACGAAGGCGGCCAGGTAGGACGTGCGCGCCATCCACATGCTCACGAAGCGGTAGTGCTCGCCCGACACCACGTTCCGCAGGAAGCCTGCAGCGCAGGGGCCGTGAGCGCCCGCCCTGACCCGCGCCCTCCCCCTCCCGCCCTGCCCCGTGCCCTCTCCCCGCCCCTGCCCTGCCCGGCGTCCTCCCCCTCCCACCCTGCCCCGCGCCCTCCCCCTCCCGCCTCCCCACGCCCTCTCCCCACCCCCACCCTGCCCGGAGCCTTCTCCCCGCCCCCCCGCCCCACCCTGGGGCGCGCCCCACCCTTGTTCTCCTCGTTCTCCGCCAGGCCCTTCACGCTGGACATGAGAATGTCATCGTAGCCCAGGAACTCATCCAGCAGCAGGCGGCTGAAGCGGTCTCCGAAGCACTGGTCCCGCGTGGGGTCTGCGGGCGGGCGGATCAGGGAGCCGGGAGCCCCGCCCAGGCTGCTCCCTGAGCCCTGCACGCTGGCCCTGCCCGCCCCCCGGCCCTGCCCATTCTCAGAAAACCCATCGCGGAGCCCAGCCCTGGGAAGCAGGCCTGGGCAGGGCAGACCCCAGTCCTTCCCGCACAGCCCGGAGCTCCGCACCTGTAGGGGAAGACCCCAGGGAGGAGGGAGGCCCAGCCACTGCGCTCCCCCAGCCCAGCGGCTCAGACTCACCCAGGGTGACCACCATGACCGGGATGCTCAGGCGCTGGCGCGTGGCCTGCGACAGGCGGAGAAACCCGTACTCCAGTGAGTACTCCACAATGTACTCATCCTGCGGCCACACTGCGGGGCAGAGCCGGGCGGGTCAGCCCCCACGCACCCCCAGCACGGCCACCAGCCAAGGCAGGCGTTGAGGAGTGGGGGGAGAGACCTGCTAAGCCCTGGGCCCCTGGTAGGTGCTGGGAGGACCCCTACACACACGTGGGATGGCGCCCACCCAAGCTGTGCCCCACCCTGTGTGCTGGAGAGGCTGGCCAGGCTCCTCCTCCCCTGGACCCATCTCCCGGGCTGCCCCTCTGCCCTGGCGGCCGGGCAGGGAATGCCCCAGCACAACTGCAACACTTCAGAGGCCCAGCCCCTCTCAGACGGGGCAGGGGCCGGCTTCCCTGAGCATAATGAGCCAGAATTCCGAGTCCAGAGCTGAGGGGCCTCATCCCCCCCAAGTCGCTGTTCACAAGTGGGTCCCAGAGAAGGTGAGCTGAGCCAGTTACCCCAGGCCCTGGAGCATCCCCACAGCCTTGTATGCAGAGAAATGGGGAAATCGAGGCACACAGGTATGCTGAAAGGTCCACGTCAAGTGGCCAGCGGGCTGGGGTGTTCTGGGGAGCTCACCTGCACCCCAGCACCCCACGGCCGGGACGTTCAGAGGGACCCCGCCTGCACCCCAGCACCCCACGGCTGGGGCGTTCAGAGGGACCCCGCCTGCACCCCGGCACCCACGGCTGGGACGTTCAGAGGGACCCCGCCTGCACCCCAGGACTCCATAGCCGGGGCGACCCCAGGAGGCAGTACCTTTGCCGGGCGTCTCGGGGAAGGGGAACCCCTGGCTGTCATTCAGGGCCTCTGTGCTACCTGGCGACTTGAACACCTTGGGCTCGATGTCCAGCTCAAACTGTGGGCGACCAGGGACCAGGGTGTTAGCAGCGCCAGCCTGGGCTGTGAGGGCCGGCCTGAGGATGCGGTCCCACCGATGGGAAAAGGCCCGGGAGCCTCAGCCTCGGCTCCATCACGGAGCAGGCCAGGGTGGACTGCGTGTGCCTCCCGCCTCAGCCAGGACCCCACCTCAACACCAAGCCTGCCCTGCTGCGGGGCCAGCCGCGGCCAGTGGGCACCAGGGAGGGGTCCATGACGCGCTGGCCAAACGTTCTTTCCTGGGGTTGGCTTTGCGGAAACAGGTGAGACCCCAAACCCTGACTGCTGAAGCAAAAAGATTTCTAACCAGACCGTGGGCCCAACACAGCCACCTGGTCCCACCCGTGCTCAAGGCCACCACAAGCTGACTGGGTACCCAGCACCGCTGCAGGGAGCAGGACAGGCCGGGACCAGGCCCAGAGCTCTCACCCCCCAGCCCCCGGGCCTCCTCCTCAGCTACTCGTGCCCATGGTACCCCCAGCCCCAGACAATCCCCTCCCCAGAACAACTGGAGTCTTGAAGGCCTCAGTCTGCCCAGCCCAGGCCTCTAGCAGGGAGACAGGCCGAGGGTCTTGTTTCAGAGGCCCCCAGGCCACCAGAAAGCTATGACAGGCGGGGGTGGGCTTGTCTGTGTGCCAGGTCCCTGATGTCAAGAACCCCAATGCCCTGTCCCTGTCAGGGACCGCCCCTTCAGGCACCTGTGGGACTGAGCCCAGGCTTGGCTCACCTTGATGGAGCTGTTTCCAAACATGTCCATGCTCAGCTCCTCCTCCTCCTCATCTTCCAACTCCAGGCTGCTGCCTGGCTCCACGGCCAGGCCCGGGAAGCTCCCGCGGCCGCCGTCACAGAACTGCAGGAAGACCGGTGCGCGGCTGGAGTTGTGCCGCACCTCCACGCGCAGGATGCCCTCGCGAGGCCACTTGTCACGCACGTGCTCCAGGCAGTTGATGGGTGAGCGGGAGAAGACGATGTGGATATAGGCCAGGACGAAGAGCACAAACAGGGCCTGGGGGGCAGCTGGCAGTCAGTGGGGCACCCAGGGCCCGCTGCAGCCCAAACCTGAGGGCCTACATGGGGCGCACTGGGCTGCCCAGGACGGGAAAGAAAGGAAGCTCCGGAAGCTGAGCTGGGCGCTGAGGGTCCTGGGTCCCTCCCACGCTGACTGCACCCGGCCAACCCTCCATGCTGCCCAGGTGACTGAGGACCCCGGGGATGCCCCACTCCAACCCCGGCTCTGACAGGCCCCAGGGCTCAGGGAGGCCTGTGACTGCCCCAACCTCCTGAGGGTGAGCCAGGCAAAGCCAGCAGGCTGGGGCCCTCTCAGATGTGCACAGGACTCGCTGGACCTGGGTAGACATGAGGCTGGACTCCGACCCAGTAAGTAGAGCGCCCCAGGGCCGTCTACCAGCCAAGAGCTCCCCCTGCAAGGAGCAGCTGGTACTGCTGCCACCCCAGGGCCGCCTGTGGGTCCCACTGTCCACAGAAGGCTGCGCAGCCCTCCACAGCCCATCCTGCTGCTTCCTGCCTCACCTTCCATGGTGTCCCCAGTGCTCCCTTGACCTCACCAGCTAAAAATAGCTTCTCACCCAGTAGGGTGCCCTGTGCACCCCTCCCAGCCCTGGAGGGGCCAGCTGCTGGGCAGGGCGCCCCAAAGCCTATGAACTGGGGTGGCAGCAGCTCTCACCTGGGGGCTTCTGCCCAGGGGATGTGGACATCTGTGGTTATAATTAGGGGAGCTCCTGGGATGGAGTGGACGACACCTGGCAGTGCCAAAGACGGCCCCACCCGATGTCCACAGGGTCTGGGGAGCCCATGCCCCAGCATGCTGCAGGCCCAACACAGAGTGGGGCCCCTCTAGGAGCAGCCCTCTTCCAGGGAGCCTGCCTCACTGATGGGGTTTGCTGCCCACTGCACCTCCCGACCTGAGGTCCAGGCATCACTCCCAAGACTGTGAGGGTCACCTCTACCTGCTGCCCTGATCCGCGGAGCTGAGAGCCCAGCTGGGCCAAGGCGGCCCCCACAGCCACGTGGAACCTCAGACTCAGGGAAGAAGTGAGCAGAGTCAAAACCACAAGCCAGGAAGGCCTGGAGCACAGGGCCCCTCCCTGACCCGCTGGCAGGCCCAGCGAAGCCCGGGATGCCGCAAGCCACCTGTGGCCACATGGCCATGAGCGAGACCCCAGCAGCCTCAGCCCTTCCACGCCCACGGAGAGTCCGGCCTCCTCTCCAGAGCCGCCTGCAGACCGAGCAAAGGGCCGAGTCAGCAGAACCACCCACTTCTGGCCTGTGCTGTGGTCTGAGGGAGGCCGCGAGTCTGGGCACGGATCAAGCCCTGGATCCACCCACATCTGCAGCTGGGGTAACCCTCATCACACCCCTCGGCCCTCGCCTAGCCCTTTCCCCGTGTGGCATCTGGGTATAGGAGCCACGGAGGCTGGGCCCGGGGGTGGGTCACAGTCAGAGGCACTGATCCCACAGTCCCTCAGCTCAGCACTCTCAGACATCCGGCAGGAGCTGTGCCCGAGACAGCAACGGATCCTGTGCCAAGATGTTCCCAAAAGTGCTGACACACAGCGGGCCGAGGCTGGGGTTGCCCAACACTTCCCAAGGGCCGCCCGGCTGCTACCACCCCTGCTTTACAAACAACCAACTGATGCAGAGGCCCCCAAAGACCTGGACCTGCTGAGCTCACAAGGCCGGGAGGCAGGAGCCGGGGGGCAGGAGCCGGGGGGCAGGAGCCGGGGGCAGTGCCGGGAGGCAGGAGCCGGGGGCAGTGCCGGGAGGCAGGAGCCGGGAGGCAGGAGCCGGGGGCAGTGCCGGGTTGCACACTCGAGGCCTCTGACCACGAGCAGTGCACAGTGACCCCACGAGCAAGAGCAGCTCCTGGGGTCGCCCTGGGCAGGCTCAGTGGGGGAGGGCATGGGACGCACATCCCGCCACATGCAGCACTGGCGTGAGTGACCCGTCCTACGAAGACAGTGGAAGTGATAGGGGCGTGGTGTGCACACGCTCCAGCCAGAGGCTCCAAGGCCCCCGGATACTGTGGCTCAGGCGTCACTGGGTCTCCCCATCAGGTAATCCGTGCTGACTGCAGTCGGGAACCCCCAGCCCAGGGTCCGCCAGGGTCCCTCTTCCCTGACTGAGCCTGACCAGGAAGGAATCTGCCCACTGAACAAGCCCATCCCCGTAAACCGCCAGTTCCCCCGAAATCTCCCACCAGAAAACAAGGAGGCAGCACCCGGCCAGTCGCAGCCTCATCCCAAGTGCTGGGTCCTCCTGCCTAAGGCCTGTCACCAGCCACCTCACCCGGCGCAGCCCCACACGCCCAGGCAGCCTCCCCGGGGATCTCAACTGGAAATGCTCCCATGGGCCCCTGGCCACCCTCCGCCCTGCAGCCTGGCTCAGCCACTCACATGTCTGGGTGGTCCCGACCGCTACACTCCATCACCCGATACCTGATCCCCAGCTCCCCAGCAGGCGCCCGCGTGCTCCAGCCCCAGGGCGTTCCCACACATCCTCCAGCTGCCTGGACACCAAGCCCCTTCACACTGGCTGTGGCTCACCTCCAGAACACCCCGCCCACCCTGCAGTGGAGTCACCCCACCCCCACAGGTCAGCCCACACACCACTACACCCACAGGAGCCTCCCCGAGCCCGGGGCCTGCACTCACCACCTCCCCCAGGAAGCCTTCCTGATATCCTGGCCAGGGCTCCCAGGGCACCCCAACACTCAGCCACCAGGTGGGCCTTTTCCTCTGTCTCCCCACAGACCTCGAGGGCCGGGAACAGCCTCCCCGGCCCGTGGATATTTGACTGACCAACACACTGACTGACAGACCAGCCTGAGGAGCCACACTCTTCTCTCCAGGGAGGGCACAGAGCCCTCAGCCCCACCCAGGAAAACCTGCAGCAGGCCCTGCGCTGCCCTACCTGGGGCTCCCCTTTGTCCTCCCGGGGTGCTTCCCAACCCCCAGGTCACAGGTGCCTCAATGTGACAGGACCCCATTCAGAGCAGGGCCCCTGGGGTCTCACCTGTCTCTCTCTCTCTTTTTTTCTTGAGACAGTCTTGCTCTGTCGCCCAAGCTGGAGTGCAGTGGCGTTATCTCGGCTCACCGCAATCTCCGCCTCAAGTGATTCTCCTGCCTCAGCCTCCCGAGTAGCTGGGCTTACAGGCGGGCGTCACCACACCCGGCTAATTTTTGTATTTTTAGTAGAGATGGGGTTTCACCAGGTTGGCAAGGCTGGTCTCCGACTCCTGACCTCATGATCCGCCTGCCTGAGCCTCCCCAAGTGCTGGGATCACAGGTGTGGGCCGCCGGGCCTGGCTCACATACCCTGTCCTTAATCCTCACCATGACACCCCACCCCAGAGGAGCCCCATTATTCCCTGTAGCTGGGGCGAGCCCTTGCTCATGTCCAGAGGCGCTGAGCCAAGGCTCCTTCACCCTGCAGGCATCTGCTCGGTGGTCACCCTGGTCAGCGACCCAGGGCCCAGTGCCCCAGGATGGATGGACTCTGCCACGCTGGCTGCGGAGGTGGATGCTGAGGCTGGAAGGAGGTCTCCCGAGGGCCCCTGGAAGGTCCTGCTGCCTCCTCCCCCCTGCATGTGGCACGGCCTGGCATTTCCCAGAACCCAGGCACAAGTGAGGGGTCAGGGCGCTCCACGCTGGCTCAGGACTGGGAGCTCAGCTGAACAGGCGCCACAAGATGAAGCTGCCTTGAAGGCAGCGCACCAGGGAGGACCTGGCTCTTTAAGAGGACCCCTGAAGCCAGGCAGACAGGAAGCTGATGAGCCTTCTGGAACTCAAGGCAGCCTCTGAAATCAGCCAGTACCAGCCTGCACTTTGCAGATAAGTAAAAGTGAAGGTGCAGGGTCAGATTCTGTGCGACCAGATTACCAGGCGGAGGATTCACAACCACCAGATTTCCCCAGCCAGGCCAGGCGAGGTGGCTCACGCCTATAATCCCAGGACTTTGGGAGGCCGAGGCGGGCGGATTGCCTGAAGTCAGGCGTTTGAGACCAGCCTGACTAACATGGCAAAGCCCCACCTCTACTAAAAATATTAAAAAATTATCCAGATGTGGTGGCGGCCACATGTAATCCCAGCTACTTGGGAGGAGGCTGAGACAGGAAAATTGATTGAACCTGGGAGATGGAGGTTGCAGTGAGCACAGGTCATGCCAGTGCACTCCAGCCCAGGCAACAGAGCAAATAAAAAGAAAGATCTCCCTACCCAGAGATCTTGCAGCCCAGAGCCCCCTGCTGAGAGGAGGGATGGAGGGCGGTGCTGAGCACCTCCCCAGAGTCCCCAGCATACACAGGAGAGGGGGACCTCCAGTTCTGGCCCAGCCCTATCTGCCCACCTGTGAGTCGCACCTGCCTGGAGATGCAGCTAGGTTGGCCTGATCCAAACCGGGACGTGGTGGGACCAGAGCCCAGGCCACAGGGATACACCTCCCAGGGAGGCTGAGCTCCATCCGGGGAACCTGGTCAGGCACACAGCACACGCCTGCCACAAGCCTAAGGACCCAGTGGCCCATCCTGGACCAGGACCACTCTGTGGAAGTGTGGTGAAGACACCCATGTCCACAGACGAGCCCCCATCCGCAGTTTCAGGCCCCATCTGTGGACCCCAAAGCCAGGAAAGACCACCCACCTGAGTATCACAGCCCTGCTCAGCTGCCCACTGAGGCGACCACCCCACTCTGGGGGGCTGCAGGGCACAAGGTGAGAAGGATGACAGGCTGAGCTCTGGCCTGCGGGGGGCCACGGATCTCAAGGCTGGGATCCACACCTGGACGGCTAAGCTCCACCTGCTGAGCCCAAAAGAGCAGCCAGCTCCTGACCGACCTGTCAGGCTTGGAACTCGCTCACGCTTGCAGCCTGTCCCGCCAGCCTCAGCCCCACTCTGCAGACTAGGCCAGAAAAGCTGCACTTAGCACCCCCAGGCCGGGCGGGCGGTGTTCTCATGCAAAACGGAAACACTCCCACTCCGAACCCCAGAGTCCAGGCGGCCCAGGCCCCTGGCCAGCTTGTTTTCTGAAGGGCTGAAGCTGCCGCTGAGCCCCTCCTGTCACCCAAGGAAGACCCCTTCTTAGAAGGACTCAGGCCGATGCCTGTCCTGCACGCAGAGACCTCTGTGCCATCTGAGGAGGGCAGGAGGGGACAGAGCCCAGGACTCAGAGGCCAGTGCCTCATTCAAGAGGCAGGGGCCAAAGAGCCACAACTCAGCTCCGGGAGCCGGAAGGGGGCGGGGACCCAGGGAAGGAGGAGGCCGGGGACGGGGTGGAACGCTGCTGCTGGTGACTTTGCCACTAACCCTAGCGAGGTGACCTCAGCTAAGTCACATTCCCCCCAGGCTCAGGAGCAGGAAACGGGGTGAAGGCTGCAAGGACGGGGAGATCGCTGCCAGGAGGATACGAGGGGAGAGGGGAGTGGCCTTCCAGGCCTCGGGGTTGTCAGGCCGGGTTCTGGGCCAGCACAGGCGGCGGGGAGGGAGGCCTCGGGGCTGAGTGTCTCAGGCGACAGTCAGGGGTCAAAGGTCAGGAGGGGCCCCAAGCCTGCGTAGGTGGGGACCCGGGAAAGGTGGCGGCGGAGACGAGATGAGCCCTGGCGGGGGCTGAGAGCGAGATTCCCGGCTTCCAATGCGGTGGGGACTCGGCCTGCCCGGGTGGACGTCCCGGGGCGGGACGGGGTCACGAGACGGTGACCCTGGCCAATCCCGGGGTCGGAGATGGCGGGGAAGGTCCCTAATCGGCGGGGCAGGGGCGAGGCCTCCGGGTGCAGGGCGGCGCTCCGTGTCTCCAGTGGGGCCGAGGATCGCGATCGGAGGGCGCAGACTTGGGGGTAGGGCCGGCCGCCGGGGTCAGGGGTCAGGGGTCAAGGGTCGGGGCCGCGGTCACCTTGAGCAACACGAAGAACTCGAAGAGACGGCGGAAGGCGGGCGGGAAGAGCCGCGAGTAGGTGACAGCCATCTTGAAGAAGAGCGCGTGGAAGAGCCGGTCGCGCACGTTGATGAGGGGGTTGGGGTTGAGGTTAGGGGTGCGAGGCCCGCGCGCGGGGGCCGGGCCGCCGCCGCCGTTGGGCCCGGGCCCCGGAGCTCCGGCCGCCGCGTGTTCCGACATGCCGCCCAGCGTCGCGCCCTAACGGCCGGCGGGTGTCCGAGGGCGCCTCCCGGCCGCCATCGGCAGCCCTCGCCGCCGCCGCCGCGCTCTTTACAGCCGCCCGGCCGCGGACGCCATCTTCCGCCTCCTCGTCCGGCTGCGGCCCCGATGACGCCAGCGAGTCGCCAGGCCGGGCAAGAGCGGCCCCCCTGCGCCTGTGGGGGAATGCTGGGATGCCGGCGACCGCCCGCGGAGGCCTCACCCCCCCCCCGCCCCCGCGCCCGGCAGCGCCAGGGGGTGGGGATGCTTCTGGCCCGCCTGTTCTTTTGCATATCGACACCCACAATCCACCGCGTCTATGAGGCCAAGATAGGCAGTAAAATTATGACAACATATGGGATTTTAGGTGATCGAAGAAACGCAAAGTAAGTGTAAGCACAGGAGTTGTTCTGCAATATGCTACCGTAGCAAACTGTGCTAAGTATAAAAGCCATCCGCAAATTCACCTAAGTGAAAGGTGCCGTAGTTATTGGGCTTTAAATACCTGTTTCGCGCACAGGAAAACCGTGCTCGCTTCGGCAGCACATATACTAAAATTGGAACGATACAGAGAAGATTAGCATGGCCCCTGCGCAAGGATGACACGCAAATTCGTGAAGCGTTCCATATTTTTGCTTCCCTTCCGCGAGCCCGCAATGACGTCACAGGGCCCCTCCCTTCCGCCATCCTGCAATGACGTCACTGGTGCGGTGACGCCATCGCCTTCCCCTTTTCGTTTCCTGTTGCACCACTAAGGTCGGCGACTGGAGGACAATCTGGCCGTCCCCACTTAGTTGTGGCGCCCCGCCACCTGCCCCTGTGGCCCTCGAGCTACCGTAAATAAGTAAGTAAACGCTCCGCAGGAGCACATATTGAGCGCCTGCTGCATACACAGGAGAACACTATGGTTTTGATTTTATGTTTTTTTAATTTAATTTAATTTTTTTTTTTTTTTGAGACGGGAGTTTCGCTCTTGTCACCCAGGCTGGAGCGCAATGGCGCGATCTCGGCTCACCGCAACCTCCGCCTCCCGGGTTCAGGCAATTCTCCTGCCTCAGCCTCCCGAGTAGCTGGGATTACAGGCACGCGCCACCATGCCCAGCTAATTTTTTGTATTTTTAGTAGAGACGGGGTTTCACCACGTTGACCAGGATGGTCTCGCTCTCTTGACCTCGTGATCCACCCGCCTCGGCCTCCCAGAGTGCTGGGATTACAGGCTTGAGCCACCGCGCCCGGCCTGCACTATGGTTTTGAAACCATCTTTGTGAAATGATGACCGAGACAGTGAGAGGGATCTATTTTAATCCACTCCGTCTGCCTTATAACCTCCAGGATGCCCTTGTGCATTCCCGGGCGTAGGCTGAACTCCTGGGAGAAACTCGGTTTACGGTTGATAATTTAAAACAAAAATGGGCGGGGCGCCGTGGCTCAAGCCTGTAATCTCAGCACTTTGGGAGGCTGAGGCAGGCACATTGCTTGAGCCCAAGGGTTCAGACCACAGGCAACATGGCTCTACAAAAAAAAAACAAGAACAAAAATCAGGGCTGAGCCCAGTGGCTCACTCCTGTAATCCCAATACTTTGGGAGGCCGAGGCGGGAAAATCACAAGAAGGAGGTCTGCTTTGGGAAGGGCTGTTAACATCTTTTTTGTGTGTCGGGGGGACAGAGTCTCGCTCTATTCCCCCCAGGCTGGAGGGCAGTGTTGCCATCTGGGCTCACCGCAACCTCCGCCTCCCTGGTTCAAGCGATTCTCCTGCCTCAGCCTCCCGAGTAGCTGGGACTACAGGTGGGCACCACCACGCAGGGCAATTTTTTTGTATTTTTTAGTAGAGATGGGGTTTCACCATGTTGGCCAGGCTGGCTTTGAACTCTTGACCTCATAGTGATTCACCCACCTCAGCCTCTCCTAGTGCTGATATTGCAGGCATGAGCCACGTAGCCCAACCCATCTTTGTTTTAAATTATCAATTATAAACCGGGCACTGTGGCTCATGCCTATAATCCCAGCACTTTGGGAGTTCACCACAGGTCGGGAGTTCGAGACCAGCCTGACCGACGTGGAGAAACCCCGTCTCTACTAAAAATACGGAAATCAGCCAGGTATGGTGGCTCATGCCTGTCATCCCAACTGCTATGGAGGCTGGGGTAGGAGAATTGCTTAAACCCAGGAGTCGGAGGTTGCAGTGAGCCGAGATTACAACACTGCACTCCAGCCTGGGCAACAAGAGCAAAACTGCGTCTCAAAAAAAAAAAAAAAAAAAAAATTATCAACTGTAAACTGAGTTTCTTCCAAAGTTAGTTCAGCCTACACCCAGGAATGAACAAGGACCAAGCGTACCAAATAAATAGATTTTTTGTTTTGAGATGGAATCTCACTCTGTCGCCCAGGCTGGAGTGCAGTGGCGCTATCCGGGCTCACCGCAACCTCCGCCTCCTGGGTTTAAGCGATTCTCCTGCCTCAGCCTCCCGAGTAGCTGGGATTACAGGTGTGCACCACCACGCCTTGTTAATTTTTTTTTTGTATTTTTAGTAGAGACGGCGTTTTTCCATGTTGGCCATGTTGGCCTCGAACTCACAACCTTAGGTGATCCGCCTGCCTCGGAGTCCCAACGTGCTGGGATGACAGGCTTGAGCCACCTCGCCTGGCAAAAAAAAAAAATGTTTTTAAAAATCAGCTGAGTTGGCCTGGCGCGGTGGCTCAAGCCTGTCATCCCAGCACTTTGGGAGGCCGAGGCGGGCGGATCACGAGGTCAGGAGATCGAGACCATCCCGGTCAACATGGTGAAACCCCGTCTCTACTAAAAATACAAAAAAATTAGCTGGACATGAATACAAAAAATGACACGTAACGGGACTGGCGCAGCTGTGTGTGCCGGTAAAGCTTTGTCTGCAGACACTGGAATGTGGATGTTTTGCAGTTTCCACAGTTGATGGAATCATTTTCATCTTTTGATTTTTTTTTTTTAAACTACTTAAAAATGTAAGAGCCATTCGCAGCTCACCGGCCACACAGAAAGAGGCTGCAGCCAGCTTTGGCCCACAGGTCACAAACACGGCTGTGCAGCACAAATAGCAAACATAACTTTTTCTTTTTTTAGTTGGAGTTTCGCTCTTGTCACCCAGGCTGGAGTGCAATGGCGCGACCTCGGCTCACCGCAACCTCCGCCTCCTGGGTTCAAGTGATTCTCCAGCCTCAGCCTCCCGAGTAGCTGGGATTACAGGCACCCGCCACCGTGCCTGGTTAATTTTTTTATTTTTAGTAGAGACGGGGTTGCACCATGTAGGCCAGGCTGGTCTCGAAGTCTTGACCTCGTGATCCACCAGCCTCAGCCTCCCAAAGTGCTGGGATGACAGGCGTGAGCTACGATACCCAATTATTATTATTATTATTATTATTTGAGATGGAGTTTCACTCTTGTCGCTCAGGCTGGAGTGCAATGGTGCAATCTCGGTTCACTGCAACGTCTGCCTCCCGGGTTCAAGTGATTCTCCTGCGTCAGACCCCAAGTACCTGGAATTACAGGTGCCCGCCACCACACCCAGCAGCTAATTTTTTTTTTTTTTTGAGACGGAGTTTCGCTCTTGTCACCCAGGCTGGAGTGCAATGGCGCGATCTCGGCTCACCGCAACCTCCGCCTCCTGGGTTCAGGCAATTCTCCTGCCTCAGCCTCCCGAGTAGCTGGGATTACAGGCACGCGCCACCGTGCCCAGCTAATTTTTTGTATTTTTAGTAGAGACGGGGTTTCACCATGTTGACCAGGATGGTCTCGATCTCTTGACCTCGTGATCCACCCGCCTCGGCCTCCCAGAGTGCTGGGATGACAGGCGTGAGCCACCGCGCCCGGCTGGGAATCCCATTCGCCTTTGGACTGACAAACTCCTACGCATCCATCAAAGCCCCTGCCCCAATGGCCCCTTCTCTGAGGAACCTGCCCTGGTTCTACTCCACCGCGCAGCTATTGGAGTTCTCTGGGAGGGGGTTAGACGCCTCTGAGGGGCAGAGAGGGGGGCCCTCTGTCCTGCCCCAAAGGGATTAAGGTCCCAGCCAGGCCTTCTCCCTTCCTCCCCCCCACCCCGTCTGGCAGAAGAGGAGACTGAGGCGGGGGAGCCGGCAGGAGCGCCACGTCCGGGCGGTCCAGAGCCTCCGCCCCTCCCTGCCTCAGTTTCCCTTCGCTTCAAAGGGAGCGAGGCCCCCCTCCCCCCCCCCGGCCTCCGGGCGGTGGTTCGGGGCGAGCCGAGGGGGCTCAGGAAGTCCGCGGCCGCAGGAATTCGGCGCCTCCAGACCTTATAAGGACATTTGCGCCCCGGGCCAATCAGCGGCGGGGGCGGGGCGCGCGGAGCCACGAGGGTCCCACCCCGCGCGCCCCGCGCTCCGTCCCGTCCCGTCCCGTCCGGCCCCGTCCCGCCAGCCATGAGCTCCACGCAGTTCAACAAGGGCCCCTCGTACGGGCTGTCGGCCGAGGTCAAGAACCGGGTGAGTGCGGGGCGCGCCCCCCGTCCCCGCCGCGCGCTCGGACCCTGGCAGGACACCCCCAGGACCCCCAGGACCCCCCCAGGACACCCAGGACACCCCCAGGACCCCCAGGACACACCCAGGACACCCCCAGGACCCCCCCAGGACCCCCCAGGACCCCCAGGACACCCCCAGGACCCCCAGGACACACCCAGGACACCCCCAGGACCCCCCCAGGACCCCCCAGGACCCCCAGGACACCCCCAGGACCCCCAGGACACACCCAGGACCCCCAGGACACCCAGGACACCCCCAGGACCCCCAGGACACCCCGAGGACCCCCCCCAGGACCCCCAGGACACCCCCAGGACCCCCAGGACACCCCCAGGACCCCCAGCACCTCGCGGGCGGGGAGCTCGGAGACCCGGGGCGCAGTGGCCCTCGATCTCCCTGACGCCTGGGGTGTGTGTGTGGGGGGGAGGGTCTGCGGGCGCCCCCTGAGGCTCCCGCGAATCTGGGGGAGCAGCGAGGTCTGAGATCCGGGAGAAGAGCGACCCATTCATCTCCCCAGCATCTCGGGGTCCCCTAGCCACGGCCCCAGGACCCCCACATGTGAAGCCCCCGGGCCCCTCTCGACCTTCGAGGAGGTCCGTTCAAGGTCCGAAAACGCTCTAGGGGTCTGGGGGGACCCCAGCAACTCCCTCATCTCCTGGCCACACTTCTGCTTTTGGGGCCTCGGGGCTTTGGGAGGGGAAGGGGCGGGGCTGAGTGGTTTTTGAGCAGTGTTGACCCCCCCCCCCAGGAACTTCCTGACTTCTGGGACACCTTGAGGGCGTCCTGCGGGCAGGGGTGCTAGTTCCTTTCCACGTTCTTTGTCCCCATCTGACAAACGTGGGGTTTTGCAGCCTGGAAACAAGAGCTGGGGTCTAGGGGGGCGCGGTGGCTGCACTTTGGGAGGCGGAGCTGGGTGGTTGGATTGAGCCCAAGGGGTTCGAGACCGGTCTGGGCAACATGGGGAAACCCCGTCTCTATAATTAAAAAGAAAAAAACTAGGGTTAGGGGGAGACACTTTTTAAGAAGGCTCTTGTGGTTCTGGCTCAGAGAGGGGCAGACACTTGTGTGGGGTCACACAGCAGGGTACTGGACAGGGTTCCTAGGGAAAGTGGGGGGCGGGAGCTGCGATCCCAGTTCCAGGGAGAGGACCGGGACCTGACACTCCAGGACCTTCCAGCTGGAGGGGAGGTGTCGTCCCCACCCACCCCCTCCTCTGACACCCACCGGGCACCTGGAAGGTGTCCTTACAGCTGGTTTCTGCAGGGGAACCTGCCTCTGCACTCCGAGGGCACCGGCCGTGCCAGCCGCGACAGCCACCTGCCCCTCCGGCACCTGAGAACCTGCAGGCTGGAGGGAGAATTCCTGCTTCCCCCCCCATGAGCTCTTCCCAGCCTTCAGACAAGCTCTTGGCCAAAAAGGGAGACTTAGGCTTGGGCAGTGACTCCCCTTCTAGGGGACATCTGCACCCTGAGAGCCCCACCCCCCCGTGCAGTGGGGTGGGCACCCTGCCGCACCCGCCACACAGCCGGCTAAGGGTGCAAGAGACGGCGTTCCAGCTGCCCAGGGCCACACGGCCCACAAGGGGCAGGGCCAAGATGGGAACCCAGTGCCTGCTGGGCCCGAGGAAGTGGGAGAGGGCACAGGAGGGTGGGGCGGCTTCCGCAGTCGGGGTGGAGTGGTGGCAGGTTGATACCTGCCCTGGCGGGGTTGAGGGCAGAGGCTGGCGGGGCGGCCCAGCAGGCTCCCCTCGAAACCCTCAGTCTGCCTGTCTGGAGGGTGGGTGAGGCATGGGCCAGTTTGCCAGGGTCACGGAAGGGTGGCATCCCAGTTAGAAACCAGCTTCCCCTGGCTTCCAGCCACAGCCATCTGCTTTACCCGCTGCTAAAAACAGCCAGAGACCTGTCTTCCCCAATGCCCTGTGCCTCAGTTTACTCCTGGCTGGACAGCAAGGAGGCAGCTGGGATCTGCCGTGTCCTCGGCCTCGCATTCCGGCTGGGGGGGGGGTCTAGACCCGCTGGGAACAGCTGGTTCAGATTTAGCCAGGGAGGCAGCAGTTTGTGGTCACCAGGAATGTGCTGGAAGGCGGCGGCCAGGCAGCAGGGGAGGACGGCGGCCGCGGGGGGCGGGGCGGGGCAGGCCCCTCTGCCAGGGACCCCTGCCCCCCCCCCCCGAGCTGGAAGGGACGAGGGGCAGCTGGGCAAGGCAGGGCTGTGTACCCAACAGCTGCGGGTTCTCCTCAGGATCAAAGCTGCCGGCGGGGCGGGGCTGCTCCCGAGCGTGGGAATCCAAGCTGGGTGGGCTGTGAGCTGGGGAGCCTCCTGCCTTTGCCTCTTCGGGGCCACAAGCTGTCTCCAGGCAGGTCCCAGGTCAGGGGGACCCCACCCAAATGATCCCAGGCAGGTCCCAGGTCGGGGGGACCCTACCCAAATGATCCCAGGCAGGTCCCAGGTCGGGGGGACCCTACCCAAATGATCGCAGGCAGAGATGGGGGGACCCACCCAAATGATCCTAGGCAGGTCCCAGGTTGGGGGGACCCTACCCAAATGATCGCAGGCAGGTCCCAGGTTGGGGGGACCCTACCCAAATGATCCCAGGCAGGTCCCAGGTCGGGGGGACCCTACCCAAATGATCCCAGGCAGGTCCCAGGTTGGGGGGACCCTACCCAAATGATCGCAGGCAGGTCCCAGGTTGGGGGGACCCTACCCAAATGATCGCAGGCAGGTCCCAGGTCGGGGGGACCCCACCCAAATGATCCCAGGCAGGTCCCAGGTCGGGGGGACCCCACCCAAATGATCCCAGGCAGGTCCCAGGTCGGGGGGACCCTACCCAAATGATCCCAGGCAGGTCCCAGGTCGGGGGGACCCCACCCAAATGATCCCAGGCAGGTCCCAGGTCGGGGGGACCCCACCCAAATGATCCCAGGCAGGTCCCAGGTCGGGGGGACCCTACCCAAATGATCCCAGGCAGGTCCCAGGTCGGGGGGACCCCACCCAAATGATCCCAGGCAGGTCCCAGGTCGGGGGGACCCTACCCAAATGATCCCAGGCAGGTCCCAGGTCGGGGGGACCCCACCCAAATGATCCCAGGCAGGTCCCAGGTCGGGGGGACCCCACCCAAATGATCCCAGGCAGGTCCCAGGTCGGGGGGACCCTACACAAATGATCGCAGGCAGAGATGGGGGGACCCACCCAAATGATCCCAGGCAGGTCCCAGGTCGGGGGGACCCCACCCAAATGATCCCAGGCAGGTCCCAGGTCGGGGGGACCCTACACAAATGATCGCAGGCAGAGATGGGGGGACCCACCCAAATGATCCCAGGCAGGTCCCAGGTCGGGGGGACCCCACCCAAATGATCCCAGGCAGGTCCCAGGTCGGGGGGACCCCACCCAAATGATCCCAGGCAGGTCCCAGGTCGGGGGGACCCCACCCAAATGATCCCAGGCAGGTCCCAGGTCGGGGGGACCCTACACAAATGATCGCAGGCAGAGATGGGGGGACCCACCCAAATGATCGCAGGCAGAGATGGGGGGACCCACCCAAATGATCGCAGGCAGAGATGGGGGGACCCACCCAAATGATCGCAGGCAGAGATGAGGAAGCCAAAGCTGGGGGGGAGAGAACTGTCCCCGGAACCTGGGGAGTTGGGCGCAGAGCAAGGAGAGGAATTTGATTTTCTTTCTTTTCCTGTCTCCCTCCCTCTTTCTTTCTCCCTTTTTCTTTTCTTTCTTTCCTTCTCTTTTTTTTCTCATTTTTCTTTCCTCTTTCTCTCTCCATTTCTCCCCTTCCTTCCTTCTTTTGTCCCTCCCTCCCTCCTTCCTCCCTCCCTCCCTCCCTCCTTCCTCCCTCCCTCCCTCCTTCCTCCCTCCCTCCCTCCTTCCTCCCTCCCTCCTTCCTCCCTCCCTCCCTCCTCCCTCCCTTCCTCCTTCCTCCCTCCCTCCCTCCCTCCCTCCTCCTTCCTTCCTTCCTTCCTTTCTCTTTCTTTTCTTTTCTTTCTCATTCTGTTCCAGGCTGCAGTGAATTGGCCTGATCTCGGCTCACCGCAACCTCCGCCTCCCGGGTTCAGGCGATTCTCCTGCCTCAGCCTCCCGAGTAGCTGGGATCACAGGCACGCGCCACCAAGCCCAGCTAACTTTTTGTATTTTTAGTAGAGACGGGGTTTCACCATGTTGACCAGGCCGGTCTCAAACTCCTGGCCTCGGCCTCCCACGGCGCCGGGATCACAGGTGCGAGCTCGGCTGGAATGGCCAGGTGCAGGACGGTGGCAAGGAGTCGGGTGTGTGAGCAGAGACTGTCACTCCCTACAGCAGCTCCTTCTGGGGGTGTTTAAAGCAGGATCAGCCCACATTGGTGGCTCACGCCTGTCCTCCCGGCACTTTGGGAGACTGAGGCGGGTGGATCACTTGAGGTCAGGAGTTCGAGACCAGCTTGAACAACATGGCGAAACCTCATCTCTACTGAAAATACAAAAGTTAGCCGGGTGTGGTGGCTCACGCCTGTCATCCCAGCACTTTGGGAGGCCGAGGCGGGTGGATCACGAGGTCAGGAGATCGAGACCCTCCTGGTCAACATGGCGAAACCCCGTCTCTACTAAAAATACAAAAAATTAGCTGGGCATGGTGGCGCGTGCCTGTAATCCCAGCTACTCGGGAGGCTGAGGCGGGAGAATTGCCTGAACCCGGGAGGCGGAGGTCGCGGTGAGCCGAGATCGCGCCATTGCACTCCCGCCTGGGCGACAGAGCCAGAGACTCGGCCTGAAATATATATAAGGAGGTGGGGGCCCAGCACTGCAATGCACTGAATGCTGGGACATGGTGTTTGCCGTGGCACATGTCAGGTGTGAGCATCAGAGACGTGAGAAGGCCGGGCTCGGGGGAGACCCTGCCAGGTTTGCCCATTAGAGCTGATGTTTATCAGTGAGTTATGAGCCCGTCCTTGGCTTGCTGGGGTGGGGTGGGGTTTCTCTGTGCCCGGCTGCAGGGGCTGGGGTGCGCCTAGTGACGGGAACGGAGAAGCATCTTGGTGGGTGTGCGGACGGGCACCTCCAGGCCCCTCTGTCTCCTGTTGCCCTGGAGTCCCCGGCCCCACCCTGTCTAGAGCTTCCGAGGGGCATGTGTCGGGTGTGCCCTGACCCCAGCTCAGTCTCATGCCCTTTGCTCCACCAGCTCCTATCCAAGTATGACCCGCAGAAGGAGGCAGAGCTCCGAAGCTGGATCCAGGGACTCACCGGGCTCTCCGTCGGCCCCGACTTCCAGAAGGGCCTGAAGGACGGGATTATCTTATGCACGTGAGTTCACGCAGGGCACGAGCTGTCTCACAGTTAACAAATCTTGGGTTTTCTCACTTTTTTTTTTTTATTAAGAAATTTTTGGCCGGGCGCGGTGGCTCAAGCCTGTAATCCCAGCACTTTGGGAGGCCGAGGCGGGTGGATCACGAGGTCAAGAGATCGAGACCATCCTGGTCAACGTGGTGAAACCCCGTCTCTACTAAAAATACAAAAAATTAGCTGGGCACAGTAGTGCGTGCCTGTAGTCCCAGCTACTCGGGAGGCTGAGGCAGGAGAATTGCCTGAACCCGGGAGGCGGAGGCTGCGGTGAGCCGAGATCGCGCCATTGCACTCCAGCCTGGGCAACAAGAGCAAAACTCCGTCTCAAAAAAAAAAAAAAAAAAAAAGAAATTTTTGTGGGGGGCGGGCACAGTGGCTCATGCTTGTAATGCTAACACTTTGGGAGGCTGAGGTGGGTGGATCACCTGAGGTCAGGAGTTCAAGGCCAGCCTGGGCATCATGGTGAAACCCCATCTTTAAAATAAAAATAAGCCGGGCGCGGTGGCTCAAGCCTATAATCCCAGCACTTTGGGAGGCCGAGGCGGGTGGATCACGAGGTCAAGAGATCGAGAGCATCCTGGTCAACGTGGTGAAACCCCGTCTCTACTAAAAATACAAAAAATTAGCTGGGCACGGTGGCGTGTGCCTGTAATCCCAGCTACTCGGGAGGCTGAGGCAGGAGAATCGCCTGAACCCGGGAGGCGGAGGCTGTGGTGAGCCGAGATCGCGCCATTGCACTCCAGCCTGGGTAACAGAGCGAGGCTCCATCTCAAAAATAAATAAATAGGAATTTTGGACATCAGCCTCCGGGTCTCCAGGGCTCCTCCCTGCTCACTGAGGCTTCCGTTCCCCCCACCCCATCCCGTGCCCTCCAGACTCATGAACAAGCTCCAGCCGGGCTCAGTCCCCAAGATCAACCGCTCCATGCAGAACTGGCATCAGGTGAGGGGCTGGCGGGGGGAAGAGTAGGAATGGGGCTGGGGGGGGCCCATCTGACAGGTGGGGAAACTGAGGCCCGCTCACCGTCTCTCTCCTGCCTCCTCTCAGCTAGAAAACCTCTCCAACTTCATCAAGGCCATGGTCAGCTACGGCATCAACGCCGTGGACCTGTTCGAGGCCAATGACCTGTTTGAGAGCGGGAACATGACGCAGGTGCAGATGTCTCTGCTCGCCCTGGCGGGAAAGGTGAGGCCCAGAGAGGGGCAGCCGCCGGCCCAGAGTCACACAGCGAGGCGGACGTAGCTGTTGCATTCACTAGTTTGCAAATTTCTGTTTGTTTCTTGCTTGGCTATTTTTTTGTTTGTTTTTGAGACGAGTCTCACCGCGTCGCCAGGCTGGAGCGCAGTGGCGCGATCTCGGCTCACCGCGACCTCCGCCTCCCGGGTTCAAGCGATTCTCCTGCCTCAGCCTCCGAGTAGCCGGGATTACTGGGATGTGCCACCACGCACAGCTAATTTTGGTATTTTTAGCAGAGACGGGGTTTCACCATGTTGGCCAGGACGGTCTCCATCTCCTGCCTCAGCCTCCCAAAGTGCTGGGATCACGAGCGTGAGCCACCGAGCCCGGCCGTCCGTTTTTGAGACAGAGTCTCTCTCTGTAGTCCAGGCCCGAGTGCAGTGGCACAATCTCGGCTCACTGCAACTTCCACCTCCCAGGTTCAAGTGATTCTCCCACCCCCCGCCTCAGCCTCCCAACTGGCGGGGACTACAGGCACCTGCCCACCACACCTGGCTAATTTTATTTATTTTTGGTAGAGACCGGGTTTCACCCTGCTGGCCATGCTGGTCTTGAACTCCTGACCTCAGGCGATCCACCCACCTCAGCCTCCCTAAGGGCTGGGATTACAGGCGTGACCCACCACGGCCGACCTTGTTTGCAGATATTTCTGAGTGCCTGCGAGGTGCCGGGCACTTCAGGTTCCTTGGTGACCAGGAAAGACTCGGTCTACCCCTTTATGGAGTTCAGTCTGATGGGGGAGGCATGCAGAAGGAGCACAGCACTTTGTTATGCGTTAGATGTAACCTGTGGCCGGGCGCAGTGGCTCGTGCCTGTAATCCCAGCACTTTGGGAGGCCAAGGTGGGAGGATCATTTGATACCAGGAGTTCGAGACCAGCCTGGCCAACATGGTGAAACCCCATCTCTAGTAAAAATACAAAAATTAGCTGGGCGTGGTGGTGCACGCCTGTAATTCCAGCTACTCGGGAGGCTGAGCACAGGAGGGGGAGGTTACGGTGAGCTGTGATGGCACCACTGCCCTCCAGCCTGGGCAACAGAGCAAGACTCTCAAAAAATAATAAAGAAAATAATAAATAAGGTCTAAATTGGGAGAAATGCCTTGAAGGGGAAGAAAGAATTAGACCATGCCAGGCGCGGCGGCTCACGCCTGTAATCCCAGCACTTTGGGAGGCCGAGGAGGGCGGAACACAAGAGATCGAGGTCAAGAGATCGAGACCATCCTGGTCAACATGGTGAAACCCCGTCTCTACTAAAAATACAAAAATTAGCTGGGCATGGTGGTGCATGCCTGTAATCCCAGCACTTTGGGAGGCCGAGGCGGGTGGATCACGAGGTCAAGAGATCGAGACCATCCCGGTCAACATGGTGAAACCCTGTCTCTACTAAAAATACAAAAATTAGCTGGGCATGGTGGTGCATGCCTGTAATCCCAGCTACTCGGGAGGCTGAGGCAGGAGAATTGCCTGAACCCAGGAGGCGGAGGTTGCGGTGAGCCGAGATCGCGCCATTGCACTCCAGCCTGGGTGACAAGAGCGAAACTCCGTCTCAAAAAAAAAAAAAAAAAAACCAGCTCCGTGATGGGTGTGTGGAGTGTGTGGAGCCCCAGACACCTGAGCGAAGTCCCTGCCGGGGCTCTGGGCAGCAGGACGAGGGGACAGGCTGGGTCTGGTCTCTGTGCCGTCCCCAAGGCCTGGATGAAGGGGCCCTGGCTGCCCTCTCCTGGTATTCCTGGCCCCTTTCCCTCACCCAGGCCAAGACCAAGGGGCTACAGAGCGGGGTGGACATCGGCGTCAAGTACTCGGAGAAGCAGGAGCGGAACTTCGACGACGCCACCATGAAGGCCGGCCAGTGCGTCATCGGGCTGCAGGTGGGTGACGGCTCCCCCAGCCCCAGGGACCAACCCCAGGGACCAACGGCAGGGACCATGGCGTCAGCAGCGTGGAACCCTGCGGCCCTTCCAGTTTGGGGAGGGACTGGAAGCCTGGGGGGCACAGCGTGACCTCTCCCACAAACTTCCCCGCAGATGGGCACCAACAAATGTGCCAGCCAGTCGGGCATGACCGCATATGGCACGAGGAGGCATCTCTACGACCCCAAGAACCATATCCTGCCCCCCATGGACCACTCGACCATCAGCCTCCAGATGGGCACCAACAAGTGTGCCAGCCAGGTGGGGCTCCCCGCGGCCCCAGACCCCCTCCCGCCCCCCAAGACTGCCTCTGGCTTCCCTCCTGGCTCCCGGTCTCCACCTTGCATTTCGGTCCCTGCCACGATTTCCACCTGGCTGTGGGTCCCTGGGGAAGTTGCTACCCCACCCTGCCTTATTGTCCCTTAAGGATTGCTCAAAGGTACACCCAGTTCTAGTTTTTATTATAAATGTGTATTTATTTGGAGACAGGATCTCACTCTGTAGCCCTGGCTGGAGTGCAGTGGCACGATCTCGGCTCACTGTCACCTCTGCCTCTGGGCTCAAGTGATCCTCCCACCTCAGCCTTCCAAGTAGCTGGGACTACAGGCACGCGCCACCATGCCCAGCTAATTTTTGTATTTTTAGTAGAGACGGGGTTTCACCATGTCAACCAGGATGGTCTCGATCTCTTGACCTCGTGATCCACCCGCCTCGGCCTCCCAAAGTACTGGGATTACAGGTGTGAGCCACCGCGCCCGGCCTCGTTTTTGTATTTCTAGTAGAGATGGGGTTTCACCATGTTGGCCAGGCTGGTCTCGAACTCCTGACCTGAGGTGATCCGCCCGTCTCGGCCTCCCAAAGTGCTGGGATCACAGGCTCCCGGCGAAAGTCCCCGCTTCTCTCCGCCATGACGTGCTCCGCCTCTCCTCCCTGTCCTCCCTCTCCAGGTGGGCATGACGGCTCCCGGGACGCGGCGGCATATCTATGACACCAAACTGGGAACCGACAAGTGTGATAACTCCTCCATGTCCCTGCAGATGGGCTACACCCAGGGCGCCAACCAGAGCGGCCAGGTCTTCGGCCTGGGCCGGCAGATATACGACCCCAAGTACTGCCCACAGGGCACAGTGGCCGACGGGGCTCCCTCGGATGCTGGCGACTGCCCGGGCCCGGGGGAGGTCCCTGAATATCCCCCTTACCACCAGGAGGAGGCGGGCTACTGAGGCTCCCAGCACTCTCTCTCCCCACGTCGTCTCCCCATCTCCCCATCTCCCCGTCTGGGTTTTTCTGTTTTCACCATTTTTTTTTTTTTTTTTTGAGACGGAGTTTCGCTCTTGTCACCCAGGCTGGAGTGCAATGGCGCGATCTCGGCTCACCGCAACCTCCACCTCCTGGGTTCAAGCGATTCTCCTGCCTCAGCCTCCCGAGTAGCTGGGATTACAGGTGCACACTCCGTGCCCAGCTAGTTTTTTGTATTTTTAGTAGAGATGGGGTTTCACCATGTTGACCAGGATGGTCTCGATCTCCTGACCTCGTGATCCACCCGCCTCGGCCTCCCAAAGCGCTGGGATTACAGGATTGAGCCACCGCGCCCGGCCCTGTGTTTTTATCTTTTTTTATTAACCTGTTCAGTGCTGCCATGCAGCTGAGGGTCTGTGAGTGGTTGCTGGGATCAGGCAGCAGGGCTTTCTCCCCCTTGGTCCTTCCCAGGACTGAGCCACCGGGCTGGGAGGGGAAGGGGTCAAGGCTGTATCCTGATACCTGTAGGGTCAGGGTCCCTGCTGGCCTGCTGGCACGTCCAGGCTGTGGGCCGAGCCGTGCTGGGGAGAAGAGGCCTGAGCTTGGAGGGAACCGGTCCCCGAAGATTTCCGGTTGCCTCGTCTCTTCTCACTTTCGTCACCCGATCAGTTTGTGGTTTCTGTACCCGCAAAAGTTTCAGGAAGTAGTAACAAAAGAAAAATACTCCCCTTCCCCCCCCCACCACCGCGGCCAAGGAATGGGGCGGGGACAGTGGGGAGGGTGCCGGGCAATGAGTCCCCTGGAAAGGGAGCCTGGCCATGATGCTGAATGTCTCAGGCTCCCAAGTGGCTGGATGTCCCTCCGACCCTCAGACCTTCCCCGGGGGCCTGGTGGGGAAACTGAGGCCTGCACAAGGAAGCGGAATTCTGAGTTGTCGGGGCCAAGCCTGACCCCGTCTCCACGCTACCCCACCCTCCCCGTGGCCTGTTGCACGGGCTGGAGTGCCGTGGGGCAACCTTCACTCACAGCACCTCGGCCTCCCACGTAGCTGGGACGGCAGGTGCTCCAGCACGCTGGCTACTTTTTGTATTTTTGGTAGAGACAGGGTTTCACCATGGTGCCCAGGCTGGTCTCGAACTCCTGGCCTCAGGTGATCCACCCCCCCCCACCCCCGCCTCGGCCTCCCCAAGTGCTAGGATTACAGGCGTGAGCCCCTGTGCCTGGCCCCTCAGTAGGTTTTCAGGAGCCCCAGCCCTCCTCCTCCCCTTCTGGACCTGACCGGCTCTACTGCTCCGTCTCCTCACCCCGGGGCCCCTGCTCCGTGAGATAATGTGAAACCCCACTGTGGACCAAATGCAATAAAGCCCGCGTGTAAGAAGAGAAGGTGGCTGAGCGGGTTGGTGGATGGGGGTGTGTTCTGCTGTGATGCTTCTGCGGGGACAGAGGGGAGGATGGGGACTCAAGGGGAAAAGGTCCACCTTACCCTTGGGAGGAGGAACCGAAGCTGAACGCCGCAGGTGAGTCTGGGTGGAATGAATGATTTGAGGGGCCGTGACTTGGGGGAGAGGGAGAGGCTGGGCTTCCCGGCCAGATGGAGAGGAAGCAGTTGCCTCAAAGGCACCCCGATGCGCTCTGGCTGCACCCGACCCTACAGCGCAAGGCGGCCTCAGCCTGGATGTCTCCCCGCTGGCAAACTCCTATTCCATCATCAAAGCCCCAGCGGCAATGCCACCTCCTTCCTCCTCAGGAGCCTTCCCCACGCCTCTCCCTCTCCCCAGCGCCTTCAAAGCCGTGGACACTCCCATTTCAGGGACACCGAGCGGGAAACGGGTGTCCCTCAAACTCAGGGTAACCTTTATGACCGGAGACGCTAATGTCAGAATGTTGGGGGCCCCTCCCCCGTCTGCCATCGCCTCGTCCTACTGCGGAAATCCAGGAGCGTTCGTGGAATGAATGAAAGAACGACGACCGCAGTGGAACCCCCACTTTACAGAAGGACAAGCGGAGTCCCAGGGTCGGGGCTAGACTGGAGGGGGCCCGGGGAGAGCGGGGACGGGGGAACCCCCCAACCCCGCGGTGATGCAGCAAGAAGCCGCGCGGTCCCTTTAAGAAACCCGGCTTGGCGAGGAGGCCCTTCTGTGATCCCGCCTCCTCCCTCGGCTCGCGCTGCTCCAGCGGAGCGCGGCCGTGAGTGACGGGCAGACCGGCCAATAGCAGCGCTCAGAGGCGGACGTGGCCCGGCGCGGCCACCTGCGCGCGGAAGCTCGGGGCACTGGGCTCTAGGGGCGCTGCTCCCGCAGGACGCTCGGGTTAAAGGGGCCGCGCTCCTACCGGCCGCTGGGTGGAGGGAAGGCGGTGAGAGCTGGGGAGCCCCCGGAACGGTGAGGACTCGGAGAGGGAGGAAGGCCCGAGACTTGAGAATGCGGGGTTGGGGCCTGGGGCCGGGGCCGGGGCCGGGAGGGATGCGCTCTCCCTGGGCATCGGGGGGGCCCGGCCTCCGTCTCTTCCCTGCATTCCGGTGGGTGTTGGGGGGCGACCGCATTGACCACTAATTCTCCAGGGGGCGTCGGACATCCGGGACCCCTAAGAAGGCCTTTGCCAATCACACGCCAGCAGCCCCCGCCCCGTTCGAACTCCTCCACGCCCCCTCGCCCCATTTTACAAAGGGAGAAACTGAGGCCCCTCCCCCAGATCCTAAGTCCCAAGCGAAGTAAAGGAAAGAGCCCTGGCTAAGGGGTCTGGGTTCGAGGTCCCCGTTCCGGCCTGGTGACCTCTGACAACTTCCCGCCCCTCTGCCCGCGTCAGAGCCTCCATCTGTGTCAGAGGTGGACAAACCCAAGGAAAAGAGGAGGTCAGGCATGGCTGGCTCCAGGAGCCTGTACACCGGCCCCTTCACCTGACTCTTGTCTCTGGCTCCCGGGTCCTGCTGAGCGTTGGATGCTGCAGAAGGTGTGGGCAGAGCTGGGGTCCTGCCTCCAGCCGCGCGACTCCCTGACTGTCTGGGTGCCAGGTAACTCTCTTGGGCCTCCATCTCCACTTCTGTAGACTGGGGTGATAGCCAGGCACTTCCGCTGGGCGTGGGAAATGGGCGGCGCAGGTAATCCCAGCATCTGGGAGGCCGAGGCGGGTGCATCACCTGAGGTCCGGAGTTCGAGACCAGCCTGGGCAACATGGCGAAACCCCGTCTCTCCTTAAAAAAAAAAAAAAAAAAAAAAAAAATTAGCCCGACGTGGAGGCGCGTGCCTGTAGTCCCAGCTGTTGGGGAGGCTGAGGTAGGAGAATCACTTGAACCCGGGAGGCGGAGGTTGCGGTGAGCCAAGATCGCACCATTGCACTCCAGCCTGGGCGACTAGAACGAAACTCCGTCTCAAAAGAAAGACAGGAATGGGCCGGGCGCAGTGGCTCACGCCTGTCATCCTAGCACTTTGGGAGGCCGAGGCGGGTGGATCACGAGGTCAAGAGATCGAGACCATCCTGGTCAACATGGTGAAACCCCGTCTCTACTAAAAATAGAAAAAATTAGCTGGGCATGGTGGCAGGTGCCTGTAATCCCAGCTACTCGGGAGGCTGAGGCAGGAGAATTGCCTGAACCCAGGAGGCGGAGGTTGCGGTGAGCCGAGATGGCGCCATTGCACTCCAGCCTGGGCAACAAGAGCGAAACTCTGTCTCAAAAAAAAAAAAAGAATGACAGAAATGTTCAGCACTGCCAGTATTCGTGGCCGTTATCTTTGGAGAACAGTGAGGGTAAAGGAGGAAACTTTTCCTCGGCTGGGGATCAGGACTCGGAAGACGTTTCGAGGTTTCCAGGTGGGGCTTGGGGTGGAGCCTGATGGGGAAAGCGTTAAGCCCACGCTAGGCCCGTGGAGGATTAGAGGATGGTTAAGTCCCCAGCTGTCAGCCCTTGCTCAGAGCGACAGTTCTGGCAGCCAGTCGGATGCGAGGACGGCTGTGGGTTGAGCTCCCATTGGTGTACCCTGGGTAGCAGAGTCCTTTTATCAAGTGACTACCGTTTGCCTGGCTCTAATCAGAGCTTCCAGGAACGCTGCCCTGTGGGATCGAGTTCGGAGCCGGACGGGGAGTTGCCCGCAGCCGCACTGCAGGTCTTCAGCCCGAGCGTCGTCCTGACCTCTCCGTCCCGTCCCGTGTCACCATGGCCTTCTGGACACAGCTGATGCTGCTGCTCTGGAAGAATGTCATGTATCGCCGGAGACAGCCGGTAACGCCCCGGTGTGCGGCCGGGGCCGGGTGGGCAGGCAGCCCCCACTGTCCCCCACCATCTCCCACCTGTTCTCTCCCAGGTCCAGCTCCTGGTCGAATTGCTGTGGCCTCTCTTCCTCTTCCTCATCCTGGTGGCCGTTCGCCACTCCCACCCCCCTCTGGAGCACCATGAATGTGAGCACCCCGGGGACCAGGCACTTTGCATGTGTAGAGAAAGGTCACCCTGTGCACAGGGATCCCCCAGTGCATGTCGGGGAGCCTTCACGGGGACGGCTGATTCATGGCATGGGAGTGAGCTCTCCGTCGCTGGAGGCATGCAAGCAGTGGCGGGTGACCCCATGGGGGTGGAGTCAGGCAGAGTCCACAGAGCCTCAGCCCCAGGCATCTCCCTGCAGGCCACTTCCACAACAAGCCACTGCCTTCGGCGGGCATCGTGCCCTGGCTCCAGGGCCTCATCTGTAATGTGAACAACACCTGCTTCCCGCAGCTGACCCGAGGCGAGGAGCCTGGGCGACTGAGCAACTTCAACGACTCCCTGTGAGCCAGAGGCAGAGCGTGCGGCCAGCCTTCAAACTCGGGGCCGCAGCGCCGGCTGGAACCCCACCTCCTGCCCTCTCTGTCCCCAGGGCCTCCCGGCTGCTGGCCGATGTCCTCCCTGTGCTGAGGGGACCCAGTGTCCACAGGACGCTGGCTGGCCTGGGGAAGCTGATCTCCACGCTGAGGGCTGCGCACATCGCAGGTGAGGAGGCCGGGGGCCTCTGGCAGGGCTGAGCTCTGAGCCTCGACTTGCCCAGCTGTGAAATAGACACGAGGTGGGGGTGGTGCCTCAGGACAAGATCCGCCCATCCCCATGCTCCCATGTGCTCCTCCCCCAGCCCCGCCGGAACCACCTGTGCGGGACCCTGTGGAGCTGCTGCTGTCGCTGCTTCGTACGGTAGGGTGGGGGCGGGACCTCGCTGACTTCCTGGGACACTGCCCCACCCTGGGCCAAGGGCCTCCCATTCCAGGCATCTGGGCTGTCCCTGGTCAGTGATGCTCCTTGTTCTTTCTGTGTCTGGACAGAGTGTGTCTGACCTGGTGAAGACGACTAGTCTGTGAGCTCTCGAACGAGGCCCTTGCCTCTCAGAGCCTCAGTTTCCCTATTTGTCAAATGGGGGCTACGAGAGCATGGTCTGCCTGGGAACTGGGCAGAGCGCTGGAGCCCTAGTGAGTGCTCAGAGTCATTGACACCCTTGTGGTCTTTCTCCCCAGGAATCCCTGGGGTCGGTGCTGGGCCAAGCCCAGGACGCCTTGCAGAGTTTTCTGGAGGCAGCTGAGGACCTGGCGGAGGAGGTGAGGCCCCATGCATCCCCAGCCCTCATGGAGGCAACATTGGCAGGCAGCCTGCACGGGGAGAGTCCAGGGCAGCCGGGCACTTCCCTTGGGTGGGTTTCCAGGGGAATTAGACAGCAAGAGAGGGAGAGGCTGCCTCTGGCCCCGTGCCCTACCCTGGTTAAGGCTTGGAGGTGGGATCATTGCCAGTTTCGTCTGGGGACCTCTCTCTAGCTCCGAGCACTGCCCAGCCTGGCAGAGCTTCAGGCGCTGCTGCAGAGACCCCGAGGGAACGGTGGCACCCTGGAGTTGTTGTCGGAGGTCCTCTGCAGTACCAGGGGGCCTAGCAGCACAGCGGGCCCCTCCCTCAACTGGTACGATGCTAGTGACCTGATGGAGCTGATGGGGCAGGAGGAAGAATCAGCCCTGCCGGACGGCAGCCTGAGTGAGTGACTTCGGCTTCCCCTCCTGGGAAGTGGAGCGGTGGGCGTGGGGGTGGGGCCTCATGGCACTCCCATCCCAGGCCCGGCCTGCTCGGAGCTGATTGGAACGCTAGACCACCACCCGCTGTCCCGCCTGCTCTGGAGACGCCTGAAGCCTCTGATCCTGGGAAAGCTGCTGTTTGCACCTGACACACCTTTTACCCGGAAGCTCATGGCCCAGGTGGGGGCAGCTGGATGCTGGGGCAGGAGGGTGGCGGCCAGAGCCCACCCAGTACCCTCAGTCCTGGTGGGTCAGGGCAAGGCTAGCGGGCTAGCAGATGAAGGGGGATCAGCATGTGCAGAGGCTCAGAGGCACAGGCAGGAGGAAGGCAGAGGGGGCAGGGGGCGGGGAGGGTCCTCAGGGGAGGAGAG